ATGGTCCTGAATGCCCTATAGTGTGTGTAGGGAACGGGGCCGAAGGTTGGAACAGATGAGCTTCATCTCTCCCCTGCGGCGTGCGTCCGTCCAGAGAGTCCTGGTGTTTCCCCCCTTCCCACTGTCTGTTGTCATCAGCAGAGGGGGGCGGGGTCTCCTCCCCATCTTCCCCAGAATCGGTGCGGGTGTCGTCTTCCTCGATCAGCCTTCCATTTCGCTGTTTTTCAGCTAGCATACTCTGGAGGTTCATGATCTTCTGACCACGTTGGAGTCCTCTCTGATAGAGGATCAGGGCTAACTTAGCTAAGTGAACCTGGATTGGTTTTGTACCATCCGGGTTTTCTATTTGATCGATTACAGCGTCAAGCTGTTCTTCAGTGAAATCCCTAGAAGGGTAGTCGGGTTCTCGAGCAACCGCGACCAGTTTGGACAATATTTGTCCAGAAAGTAGGCCAGGTTCATAGTCGTGGGCCGCAGCGCCACCTGGTTGCTGGGAGTTGGTCAGTTCACTACTCTGTCCCTCCATTTTAACAACCGAACCAAAAATAGCCTAGTAGAGCTTCTGCAGATAGCTCAAGCTGCACCTTTTGGGCAGCAACTGCTAGCTTTGTAGCAGAAAAACACTAAATTAACCTTTGTGCGCACAGGTTTTAGCGTTTTAAGATTGCACGGAATGCCGTGACTGACGCTTAAAATACTATTCCTTTCAGTATTTTAGCAAAAACTGGTGCGTTGCCGTAGCAACGTCTTACAACACTTGCAGTGTTAAATATGCTAGTTATTCCTTCAGAATATTAGCAAACAGGGTGTTATCAGTCTTTGAGTGAAGGTTTCAGTTAGTTATAATAGCCACTGTGAGTTAAAGTCGATAAATTAGCAGTTAATTTTAGCCTAAAAGGGTTAGTCAGAATTACTTACACGCTGCACCTTTAATGAGGAACTGAATTTTAACCTAAAAGGTTAGCCAGAATTAATTACACGTTGCACCTTTAAGGAAAAACTGAATTTTAACCTAAAAGGTTAGCCAGAATTAATTACACGTTGCACCTTTAAGGAAAAGCACTGAGTTACTGGTGAGAGTTCGATGCAGCTTCCTGCTCAGCGAAATCAGCACCACTCTGTTGCTGGTTCAAGGCTGAACAACTGATTATTTTTAATTCAAGCTCTTTGGATTTATTTGTTTGTTTGTGCCGGATAGAAATCTCTGTGTATCCAAGCCTCACGCGGGCTGCACCAATAAAATGTTGGGGTTATTAGGAGCGAACAATTCGTAAGCTTTAACTTACTTTTGGATTCTTCAATAAATTCTGTAAATATGGAACTATTTACTGATTTATTAATTAATTAAGATATTCTTAGATATCTTCGGGGCACCACCCTTTAATTAGAAAGGGAAATGAATCCAAAACTCTTATCAGTCTTTCTTGAAGTTCGTAGAATCCTCGGAGCAGAGACTTCTCTTCGACACAACAAAGCTACTGGACACAAAAATCTGAATTTTATAACATTTAATTAACAATTTGTCAAATGAATAAACAGTGGAATAGATGAATAATAACCGTGTGATATGATTGAAGATGGATGTGTTTGCATGTGATGGAGGATGTATGAATGGGGTCCTTTGTTCTCACAAAGGAGTAGTGTGTGTGTGTGTGTGTGTGTGTGTGTGTGTGTGTGTGTGTGTGTGTGTGTGTGTGTGCGTGTGTATGGATTCAAAATGGAGTCTTGAATACAAGATGGCTGACCCCTTTGTCTGGCTAAAGTGTGGGTGGCAACTTGCACTTTAACTTCCAAAGCACTTAGAATCAGTAGTAACTTAACCTTAAATCACTCAAAACATTTCAAAAGATCATGAAACAACACAAAAGATTAATCACAAATTAATATCTTTTAGTTTCAGCCTGGCCATGACAGAAACCATTTTAAGATACCAAACAATGATCAATAAGCAGTTTATTCTTTCAAAATGACCCGACGGACGTGTTTGGGACGAAAGAGGAAAACACGAAGCTACTTTTTAAGCAATAGCGCGGTTTTATTGCTTATTCTGGACTATAGAGTTAACGGAAGAAGAAGGAGAGAGAGAAAGAGATGAGTTGCTGATCACCAGAAGAGCGAGGCGTCCCTCCCTCTTTGATTTGACGGTTCTCCGTGTTTCTCCGCAGCTTTCGGCGTCGTCCGTCGGTTTGATGCTTTCTCCGTTGTTTGGCGTTCACGAGTGTTTCTCCACGGGCTGGACAGAGACAGCAAAGTTTCTTTCTGTGCTGAGTTATAACTTACAGCGTGCTTGATGGAGTTGTTGCTTTCCTCCGCAGTTCTGTGTCCTCAAACATCAGCTGGAGGGGAGCAGAAACGAGCAGATCTGATGGGCTTGCAGTTTAGTTTCCAGCAGTTCCGTGGGCTCAACTTGGGCACTTAGAGCTTCCGCGTGCTCAAGTTGACGGAGCGTTGACAAGCGTGTCCTTACCGCCAGGTATCCTGGGCAAAAGAACAAGGTTTCTTTGTCTCTGCTGAAGATTTATGGTCTTAGTTCGCGGGAAAAGCTCCACGGCTTCCCGCACATGCGCAGAACGTGTTTCTGGTACTAGGCGGTGACATCACCCAATGCTTCCGTGTGCAAAGCATCATGGGAAATGAAGTTTCTTGGCGCTGATGTGATTATTTGCTTTTCAGAGCAATTTAAGCACAGTCATTTTGGAGAAAATCACTGCATAGTAATTTCCTCATGAGGTCAGACCCTCAACAGGAGTATCCGGATGTTCCCTGGAGGTGGGTTCACTAGGGGTGTCTGGGACTGGGGGGCCGTTGCCCCCCTCTGGAGGTGCTTGGGTTGCCTCGGGGGGTGGACTACTGGCAGTTGTGAGTGGGGCCCCTTGGGGATCTTGGCGGCAACCATGGGTCACTGCCTGGCGGCTGCATTGCCCCTGGGCGGGTCTGGGTGGGGGCCTGGGGTCACAGGGTTTGGGGGTGGCTGGCCCCGTGTGGCGATCTGGGCGGGGCCTTGGGGGTCGGGTCCTGACATGTGTGCTGCCGGGAAGAAGGCAGGAACATGCAGCAGTGCCTGGCCCGGGTTCGGGGGCCTCAGGTAGACCTTGGCTCCTCTGCCATTTCATCACAGGGGAGGGGGAGGTCCAGGAGGTGGAGGACCCAACCTTACCTGGATGTCCCATTTCTTACATATTCTGGAAGTTGTGCAAATGCAGGGATGGGCATAGATATTCTGCTGGGGTGGGGCTGGGTTGAAGCCCTCGGACTCCGTGAGGCTCTGTAATGCTGCTGCTTTGGGCCCTGGCAGGATGGGCTTGGGTCTCCATGCCCTGGGTGGCAGTTTGACAACAGAGGTGCCTATTTGGGCCAGTAGGGGAGCCGGCTCCCTGGAGGGCTAAGCCCAACCAGCCATTCCTCCCCATCCCCGCATATTTCTCTCCTCCTGCTCCCTCACATAATCACACAAACATACACATAGGACCTTGGGGGGTGGGCAAGTCAGGGAGTGCGGGTATGGACCCCATTTCCGCATTCCTGTGGCAACCTGCCCCCCAATTTTATTTGCACCTTATACACTTCCACTGACGACATTCCACACAAACACACACTTAGGGCCTTGGGAGTGGGCACATTCAACGGCATTTGGCAGGGGGATATCTCAGCCTCCTCCCGGGTGCCGGTGCCAACTTCCAATTTTAAACCGCACTTAGACACCGAGGGCTGAGGGTGTAAGTGGGTGGTGCGGTGGCATCAGCTGGCATAGGCTGGATGATGCCCGCTGCTCACCACAGCCATGGAATACACCTCATGATCACACAACACTATATTGGAGCAGGCGGAGGGAGACTAGGGGTCTTACCCACCTCTGTTGTTACTTGGTTTCCCGGGGCTGGAGGCTAGGAGGGAGATCTGGCCTTCTAGTTGGGGTCTGGGGTGGTAGGTTGCTGTGCTCAGCGTTGGTGGGGAGCCTGCTCATCAGCACCCCAGCAGAAAGGGTTAAACTCTGGTTACCGGTGATGGTTGTACCCAATGTGCAGCAGTACCGGGACCAGAGTGAATAGGGTGTGTATGGGGAGCATGAGTGGGTGTCCGGCGTGCATTTTTGTAAGTCTTGGGTTGTATGTGCATGTGTGAGCATGAGGGAGGGAGTGTGTGACTGTGTTTGTGTATGACTGTAAATGTCAGGTGGGGCCTTTGACTCCTCCCCTCTCCTGGAACTTTTTTTGATGATATAGATCTTCGTCCCCCCTCCCCTGCCACACCTGGTGTGAGGGGTTGTGCCTTGGTCTGCCTGAGTGTTTGTGGCAACCGGGTCTGGGGGTTTAAGATTTTGGCATCTGCCTGATAGATCCCGGTGGCTGCCTGGTGGGGTCTGGGTCCCTGGGCTCTGCTGGGTCCCCGGCGGGGGTGGTCGCCCCTGGGTCCCGGGTCGCTGGGTCCTGGGCTTGGCCGGCCAGGGGGTGGGAGGCTGCGGGCGGGCCTGTGGGCTTGCCGCTGATGTCTCCCGGGACTCTGCCGGCTGCTGGTTGTGGCCCCCCGGGGCGATCCTCTGTGCCTCTCGAGGGGGGCCGGGGCCTTTTTGGTTGCAGTCTCCTTGGGGTTCCTGTGTTCTTGGGCAGTGCCTGGATCTCTGGGACTTGGAGCTCCCCCCTCTCCTGCACATCTTTGGGGGGCGGATCTGTGGTCCCTCACACTCTCTGTTGGATGCTTCTATAGAGAAACCTTACATAAACAAGCGAGTGTACACACACAGGTGCTCACATGGTGCTCTCAAAAGTATGGACTTGGGCACATTAAACACAGGTCTTAAGACTATGGTGGGCACTTAATGCACTGTGATTTATTATCGTGATTCTTCAGTTAAGCAACGTTGATTAAATATTTCTTCATCAAGTTGACACAGTGACAGCTTGATCTTGTTGTATTGTTGTTGTGTCCCATTTTTTTGTCCTTTTTCTTTTTTGTTGTCTTTTTCTGCAGGTCTAGAAGCAGACTCTTGTTCATTATTGTTTAAATATCTGATCAGACAAGAAGTAAGCCACCAAGTCGCCTTGTATTTCAGTTATCAACATTTTATTTACCCAAACGCATTTAGAGAAGATTCTGCCACCTCCCAGTCCCTGTGACAAATCTGATCAAGTCTTACATGATGCACAGCTTTTATTCTTTCTCTCCTGCTGCAAAAGTCTGCTCCCAGCACCTCCTTAGTAACTGACATTCCTTTTGTCCTTCACTTCTTCAGATCAGATGGGAGACACTTTGCCCCATCTACTTTCTGTCCTATCTTCTTCTGTTAGGGCTAGAGGACATATGACCAGTCCTTTCCTTCGAACAGCTTTGGGTTGATCTAATCTGTACCTGGCCTTTACGTACCATGCATCTCTTCAAGCATAAGCTGAAACGTTAGCAATATAATCCTGCATAAATCAGATATGGGTCTAGCTCAGTGCTAGGCTGTGACAACCACAAGTGAATCATTCAGGCTCAAAGAGCACATGGCATATATGAATCATTCAGTTTAAAGGTACATGAGTATCACAAGAACAGTGAAATGAATATGAGTATTAACACACAGATGATTAATTGAAATCATTCAGGATTACATGTGTGATCAAACATTATATTTCCCTTCACATGCCAGAGCAGGTTTACTCTACAGCAAGAGGGATGTGGGATGTCCCTCCTTTATTACCTTAGACCGTATCCCCCAGGCTTCAAGATACAGTTTAATACATAATAAGTATACTTTAACATTAATGCAGGAGGAAAGTCTGCACTCTCACATGGTTTAACGTCATACAGAATTCATTACTGTTAAAGTCTGCAGGGGCAGAACATTTTACTTTGAAATTTCAAATCCTTAAAACTGTTTTTCAATATTTGACTCATACTTAGACAAACTAGCCAGTAATTCTAATTATAGCAGTAAGGCCCCTGGTTTTCATCAACTGCTGAATTGTAACCTGATGTCATCTACATGATTAGTTAGTCTGGCCTGCCAGGCTCGTCCTCTGTTTAATTCTGCACAGCGAACCAGTCTGGTTACTCACAGGCAGAGAGGCACTTGAGGGGCGGGACTAGGCAGCTCAAAAGTAACCAATCAGAAAAAAGACAGAAATCCCAATTGTACCACACAACGCTGTCGTTTTCTAGTTGTATAAAAAAAAGGGCATCTGGCAACGGTGAAAATCTTTTTTTTTTTTTAGAATAAATGCTTTTAGAGCTTCTACTTGGGGTTTTAGAGACATTAAAGTCATTTAGAACAGAGGAAAGAGCCGCAACAAACTCCGCCGCTGTCTTTGTTGTTTATGAGAAATTGAGTGTCGCTGTGTGTGACGCTGTAGTTTTTTAGCTGTAGTAAAAATGGAGTCTAGCGACAGCCCAAACATCTTTCTTTAGAAGAAAGGATTTTAGCGCTTCTGCGTGTTGTGTCCAAGTCATTTAGAACAGAGGAAAGAGCCACAGCAAACTCCGCTTCAGTCATCATGTTCTACAAACTCAGCGTTATGGTGTGTGACGTACGCTACTCAGCGCTGATTGGCTCGGTAAGAATTCTCACGGGGTGGGGTTATTTGACTAGGAGAGTTTCCAGACCCTTTCTCTGTGCAGAATTAAACAGAGGAGGAGTCTGGCAGGCCAGACTAATGATTAGTAAAAGCATCTGCAGATTTTGATGAGCAGCATCATGACAGCCTCCATATCATCAGAGTAAAAGCTACATTCACATATCCTGTAAATACAGATGTAACAGGTGCAGCATCCAGGTGATGCCTTGGCCTGATGTGTGGCTGTTGCTCAGCAGCTGAAGTCAAAACAGAAGAGAATTTAATCATTGCTAGAATGTGTTGGCTTCTTCATCTTCTGTGTAAAACAGGAAAACACAAAAAGAGGAAGATCAGACTGTGACGGCACCTAAATGTTCTTCTGTTACCTGTCATGGTCGTCTTCCTTAGCATGCTGGTTGTTCTGGAGGAGACTGGACTTACTGATGCTGATGAAGGGAGAAGCTCCTGGAATCTGGCCAGGTCTGATTGGCTTGGCTGAGTTTGACAGAAGCACAGAACTGGCTCACTTCTAAGGTTTTTAAACCAACAGAAATAATTTTAAACATTTCTTAAGTACATTTAAAGCAGATCCAAATATTTCCCATTGCCAGCAGAAACCAGTTTACTCTTAAATCTGTTTTTTGTTTCATCCAAAAGAGTTGCAGTCACCAAGCATGTGTCCCCACCCACATCTGTCGGAGCTGGGGTTGTTATTACCAAATGGAGTCATTTCATGTGGAGCTGAATGCAGATTGACTCTGCCATCTTTTTATAAAGCCCCATTCCTGAACTTTGTGGATATACGCTCTCCGTCGCCCTCTCCAGGCTTGCTGCGTGACATCTAGGGATGAGCAAGTACACCACTATCTGTATCTGTATCTGTTCAACCATCTAAATTATCTGTATATGTATCAGTACTCAGAGTGGGTGTGGCATAGCCCGGAAGTGGGTGTGATTTAACCGGAAGTGGGTGTGATTTAACCGGAAGTGGGTGTGAATTACATCAATACATTATTTTATATCTGAAATCTATATGAATTGTTACTATCTGTATTGTTTATTTGAAAACTATTTACAGAGCAGCCTCAGAATTGAGATTAAATATTTTTGATCTCAATAGTAAAGAAACTATTACAAAACAAGTGTTTCAATAAAATCAGAACATTATTATTTAAGTGCATGGATTAATACATCTGAACTCATGCAGTAGGAAATAGGAAATAAGAAATGCTAGAACCAGACACAACTTTATATATTTTTAATGTTAATTTGATTAAACAGATTTTTTCTCAACGTTCTTGGCATTTTTCCCACACAAAGTTAAACAAAACAATGTTGATTAAGGTGTGTGTGTGAGAGACAGAGACGGAGAGAGAGTGAGTTAAAAAAAATTTTAAAAACCAGAGCGGAGGCAGTGACTGATGCAGCACGTCAGCTCCGTCTTGTCAAATGCACCACGTAAGTTACGAAAAAAAGTTACTTTAAATATTCAACCGAAAAAGAGGCGAGCTGAAGAAAACCTAGGGAGTCCTGAAGAAACGTGAGCAACAGTGAAGCAATCACAGAGAGATCCGTTACTGTCTTGTGCAAGTGTGGACGGCCGGACGGACTGAGCTCCCGGCTGCAGAGTTTTGTGTGTAGGGAGGGGCACGTGACTGGCCAATCACAGAGCATGAAGACATTCAGTTACCCATTGAGGATTTTCCTGCAGCACGATTACAGATATTTACGAGTTTTACTCGTTTAATGCTCGTATTCTTCAAAAATGGTTTATCCGTACCGGATACTAGTCTGAAACGAGTACCCAGCTCATCCCTAGTAACATCACTGTCATAAAATCAAATCTCTCTGTCACTCATAAGAGGCATGTTAACTGGCTTTTTTCCAACTCACGTGCCCAAATAAATGCATTAACTCATTCACTGCCAGCCGTTTCCTGATCACTAAATCCCTTCGCTGCCAGCGTTTCTCGCCGTTTTTACTGTTTTTTTAAGAGTGACAGAACGTTGAGCGCCAAAACAACCAAAACAAAGCGGATACTCACCTCTTACATCAGGAAGAATCCACATGTTTCGAGCGTTATCCATTCTTTCATAATCCGTTGTCGAATTGTGATCGGCAGAAGCTTTTCCGGTTCGCGCCTCGCTTTTTTTTTTTACAAGAACGACCCAAAACAATCTCCTAACACATAGATTTTCTGCTTCCTGATCACGTGACGTGTGACATATGCGGATGAAGATCGGCTTCAGAGCTGAGATGTTTGTTCTCTCAGCGCGGGGGCTCGTTCCGATGCCCAAACAGTAAAAAAAATTAAAATGACGACTTTAGTCGTCATTGGCAGGAAACGGTTGAATTTAAAATGACGACTTTAGTCAGTCAATGGCAGTGAATGAGTTAAGCGGCATTTCTGCAGTGAATAAAGTTTTATCAGAACTGTATGACAATGTGATGCCCGACCAAACACAATAACCCCAGTGAAATCATTTATTACTTACCTATCCATTAGTAGCATGGCTAGGTCAGAGTCCATAGTACATGCCATTCTTTCGAGAAGAGCTCTCCAGCGAGAGCCCAATATTACCTCTGATCTTTTCTCTTGCTCTATCACACTCTCTTTTTCTTTTCCTAGATTCCTCTGATGAGGGATTTATAGCTATCTTTGGTGGATCTCCCATTGCTTAAGTCTCTAAACCGCCGGTCTACCAGACATTTATACGTAGACACCTCGTGGACTAGTGCTGCCATAGTTGCTGGCTGCCATTTTAGATGGGTCTCCATTCACCCACAGTGCATTAATTTTTACTAATGAAGGTGCTACCAACTAAAAAATACATTTTATCAAGCGTGTTTACAAAAACAGACACAAGTTGCTCACTCTGCGTTGACTTTGGACTTTTCTACAGTCTCTGCTTTGGAGAGAAAGACCCATCCGTAAAGCAATGCACAGTCAGTCCGGCGGCTGACTGCGGGTCAAAAACTGTATAGTGCAGTAAAGATGTGGGACCCCATAACACTATCACAGCTCCAAAAAAGAACATAGTAGATGATAGTATGCCACCAGAACTTAAAAAAATACATTATTTAAGATATAAAGTCTCTGTATGGGGCTTTAATCTATAAGGTCATTTAATTTAATTTTAATTATTGATTTGGTAAAATTTGGATATATTTACCTTTCATAATGTCAAATCTTTGAAGTACTTTTACTTGTGTTTTGTTGTTGTTTACTCTTTATTTATCCTTTCTACTTACCTTGTGTTGCGTTGTGTTGTGTATTTCATGTTGCATTGTGTGTTGTGTTGCCTTGTCTTGCATTGCGTCATGTGTTGTGTTGCGTCGCTTGTTGTATTAGAGGTTTAGCTCTGGTTGGGGGGCAGAAGACAGTAGTGTGTGCAGAGAAGGAGGGAGAAGAAGAAAAGGACAGTTTTGTGTGTGTGTGAGAGCTCGTGGGATCAGAAGTAAAAGTGAGGTAAAAGCTAAGTTAGGAAGCTGTACTATTCTGTGGTCTGTAAAAGAAGGAATAAAACTGCTAAATGTCACCTGCCTCCTTGTCCTTGCTTCCTCAGCATCAGTGTGACCGGACACAAATAATAGGGTACCAGTAACGAGCTAAGTAGATACTCGCCTGGACTACAGCAGTTTAGAGAATTGACACTAGCTCCGTTGTGCAGTGCCTTGTGTTGCCTTGCATTTTGTGTTGTGTTGTGCTGTCTTGTGAGTTTTGTCACAATGCTGTGTGATACATTGTGTTATGTTGCCTCACCTTGCATTGTCTGTTGTTTTGATTAGCCTTGTGCATCACATTGTGACGTTGCCTTTTGTTACATTGTGTTGTGTGTTGCATTGCGTTGTGTGTTGTGTTTCCTTGAGTTGCGTGTCATTGCCTTGTGTTGTGTAATGCGTTGCCTTGTGTGTTGTGTTGCCTTGTGTTGTGTGTTTTATTACCTTGTGTTGTGTGTTGTGTTGCCTTGTTTTGTGTGTTGTATTGCCTTGTGTGTTTTGTCACATTGCCATGTGTTTCGTTGTGTTGTGTTGCCTTACCATGTTTGTGGTTTAGCTTTGTCTTGTGTTGCATCACGTTGTGTGGCATTGCCTTTTGTTACATTGTGTTGTGTGTTGTGTTGCGTTGGACATTGTGTTGTGCCGCATTGTATGTTCTGTTGTGTTGCCTTGTGTTGTGTCGTGTTGTGTGTTGTATTGTGCTGCCTTGTGTTATATTGCATTATGGGTTGCGTTGCTTTGTGTTGTGTTGCACTGCCTTGCATGTTGCATTGCCTTGTGTGTTTAGTCACATTGCCTTGTGTTTCATTGTGTTGTGCTGCTTTACATTACATTGTGTGTTGTTTTGCTTTGCCTTGTGCATCACATTGTGTAACACTGTCTTTGGTTACATTGTGTTGCATTGCCTTGTGTTGTGTGGCATTGTATGTTGTGTTGCGTCACGTTGTGTTGCCCTGTGTTGTGTTGAGTTGCGTTGCCTTTTGTTGTGTGTTGCATTGCATTGCCTTGTGTTGTGTTGCCTTGTGTTATATGCTGTGTCGCGTTGCGTTGCATTGCCTTGCATTGTGTGTTGCATTGGCAACGTTGTATGTTGTGTTACGTTGCCTTGTGTTGCGTCGTGTTGTGTGTTGTATTGTGTTGCCTTGTATTACATTGACTTGTGTTGTGTTGTGTTGCATTGCCTTGTGTGTTGTGTTGCCTTGTATGGTGTGTTGTGTTGCCTTGTATGGTATTTTATGTTGCATTGACTTGGCTTGTGTGTTGTATTGTTTTGTGTTGTGTTGCGCTGCTTTGCCTTGCCTTGTGTTGTGTGTTGGGTTGAACTGTTTGTGTGATGTTGCATTCTTTGTTGTGTTGCTTTGTTTTGCATTGTGTTACATTGCCTTGTATTGCCTTGCGTTGTATGTTGTGTTGCGTTGTGCTGCCTTCCGTTGTGTGTTGTGAATGTAACGGCTGATGTCCCACTGAGGGACAATGAAGATATTTCTGTTCTTTTCTAGTCTAATCATTCTAACTCCAGATGTTAAAGGCTTGAGTGAATAAAACAATTCTCATGCACATCTTGATTTCTAGCCTCTTCTTACATCTGCATGCTCCGCTCTCATATCTTCATAGATCAGGTTTTATAAATGCTGATGATATCACTGCTTATCATGAGCTCTTTGTTATATATGTATACGTATGTTATATGTATGTCCAATAATCACTTAAGTGCAGGGCCACCTTAACCAGCTGATAGGCCCCGGGGCAGAGAGGCTCAGTAGGCCCCCCACGAGGAAAAATATGTGTGCAATGGTGGAGGAGGTGCTCAGGGGGAAAATAAACAACAAATAATTAAATAAAATATTTCTCATCAGTTTTTTGCAACTAGAAACATGCAGACACACACATACATGTGCTTTGCTTTTTTTTTTCAAATTTGAAATAAGCTTCTGCACACAAAGGCCACAGAACATCAGCAGCAAAAACAGCTGATATCTACGTAGCTGCTGGTTTTAGAGCAATAATAAAGTTAAATAGAAAAATATTACATCTGCCAGACACCAAGTTGCTTAGGTTCATAAATGCATGTGCAAAGTTGTGCACACACGCGCGCACACACACACACACACACACACACACACACACAGCAGCAGCAAACCTGTTGATGGTGGAGGGAAAATCCATTTCGCTCTGCCGTGGTTGAAGGGGAGGTTTTAGACTTTTCGTTTTACCAGAAAAGTTTCGGAGATGTCTGATGAGTTTGACCGGGTCAGATGGACGAGAACCGCTGAAGGTACAGCTGCTCTCCATGCAGTATGGAAGTGTGGAGTTGTGACACGTCTTTCTTTTATTCTTTAGTTTGTGCACTGAACTAAATGGCTTTTCTCCACTAAAACATTAGCTAAACTCGAACTAGTTTCATCAGTGATGACGTTTAACACTTAAACCGATTAGATCAACAGAACTGAACAAAATAGTTGTGCAATTTTCAACATTTTATTCACTTTATCATATTTTTTACAGAGCACCTCCTCCACCGCCCATTTTTTTCTAGTTTCCTCACATCTAGAGGAACATGCCCTGAAATCATCTAAATTGTTTGATTGGCCAGCTCATGGTCCAGAGGTCACGTGGCTGACATAGGTCACTTGTAATTTGGATCATCCAGCAGCCTTAAATGAGCATCGAAGATGATTGACTGAAAACCTGACAAATGACAAAACTTTTTTTGTTATTTTTTGTTTAACTTGAAATGATAGGCCCCTAAAGCTCATAGGCCCCTGGCCACGGCCCCGGTTGTCCTGTGCATTAAGGATCAACTGGGTTAAGTGGTGGAAAAAAAGAGAAAGCTGTTTGATTTTGAACAGCAGGAAATCCCTTTTCTTCAAAGCAAAGCCAATAAATATGTTTTTATTATTTCTATTCTGTAAAATATCACAGAGGGTTTGATGAGTAGCTAATGAAAGTTGGTGACACCGATGACCTTCCTATCCCAGGATAGATCAGATGTAAATGATCAGTATGATGGAGGACATTGTTTAGTGTGTTGCACCTACCTATCACAGCAGATGGTCTCCTGCCCATGTTTTTAGGTTTGACGGTGTCCTTAATTCGCTCGACCTCTTGCTGGTAGCGCTTCTGGTCGCGTGCCGCTGTCTCTTTGGCCTCCTTCAGTGCAGCTTCTAGGGCTTGGACCCGCTCAGCTGTGGCACGCAGGCGCTTCTCCATTTTTGGGATCTCGCAGCGAAGACTGGCATTGTCTTGCAGCAGCTGTCAAAAGTAGAGTGAAGGAGACGAAGAGAATGGATAAAATCAGAAATCATGGAAATGCACTAATGCGGGAGAAAGTGGATGTCCTGTGCACACCTGTTTGTGAACTTTGGTGAGCTGCTCCAGATTACGCTCTAGGAAGTTGATTTTTTGTTTCTGGGCAGCATTGCCTTCCATGTCATCGACGTCTTGTCCATTCTGTCCAAAACAGCACCGAGCACCAATATAAACTGATGCTGCACTTTGGTATTCTTTTTGAACAAAACACTTTTTTACTGACACACACACACACACACGCACACACACACATACATATATATATATATATATATATATATATATATATATATATATATATATATATATATATATATATATATTTACATTTTAAACATTGTCTGTCTATATCTCCTCAGGTCTCATCCTGAATATGAGCACAACACCGTGCGTCATGTACATCCAGTACCTTAAAATAATCAGGGGGGTATTCCATGAAACGTGCAAATCCCAAAACACAGGCTGTTTTTGAAAATCCCAGTTTAACTTTCCCAATTTCGATTCTACGACAGTGGCCAGCCTAAAGCCCCCCCATGTTCACCATGGTAGCTCATGCTGATGAACAAACCTGCTCCATGGCATGCTAGCTGCTAAGCTTGCTGAAGCGTAGTGAAAATAATTGGCCCCTTTTTCTTGTCAGCAGCTGGCAGCTTTGAGGTGATGAATTAGTGTCACAGATGCAGCTATGCTTTTGAAGGCTAAATAATAATAAATGTGGAGTTTAAACTTTTAAAATTGAGTTCACATCTTAACCTTTTTTGTATTTAATCTTCATTTGCAGCCTGGAGCGTTCCATTCCACTCATGATGCCCCTGATGTCAGCATTATCAGTATAATGATGTAACAGTTCTATATTAGTCTGGGATGGACCCATATAATTAACATGATGTCCTCTGTATGAATATGTTAAAATAGCCTTAAACTACCTTACAGCTGCTAACATAATGTAAAAGAAATAACTTTCTTGATATCCCCCTTCAGAGGCAGACTGAGACATCCCCAATGTAAAACAGAACTCTACCGTAGGTCATTCATCCCCTCTGCAGTGAGAGTGTATCACTCCTCAGTTTAAGCTGTACTGGTATTATCCTGTTACACAATAACACCAATGCAATATTCATTATGTGTTCAATACTCGTTCGACCATTCTGTTTCACCCAAGCTGCAGTTCAGATTCAGGTTCTATTGTCGATCCGTGCATCTTCTCATTGTCAAGTGCGCGAGGCGAGGTGGAGATGGGCGGTTGAGGTGAGGATCCAAAACTATGACGACAATCTAAAGTGATTGGGAGACGAAAGACAGGTGGGAGAAATTGGGGAAGACACAGGACTGAACAGAGTGGGGAGACAAGACAGGTTGTGACAGTATCCCCCCCCCCAACACGGGCCAGGGTGGAATCTGGGGGGCTGGCAGCCAGGAGGCAACGGGCTCTGGGGGGCCTGCGCCTGGTCCTACATGGACCTTGACCACCTCTGACCAGACAATTCTCCCTCCCCCGAGCCCAAACCTCCTCGAGAAACCGTAAGCCCCATTTCCCAATGCTCCAAGTCTGCATGTCATCCTCCACACGTCACTGCCCTCTGTTTACACACCTGTTTCGAGTTCTACCTGAACTCAGTCTTGCCTCATTTTTGATGGCGCTCCCTTAGTTTCCTTAATAAAATATTGTTTTCCTTTCTCCTACTACGGTCCTTGTGTGTGATTCTGTATGTTCTGGGCCAAATGACTAAATCAGAACATGACAATGTGTATTTGTGACAAACTGTTAACTTTAGGGTCACGAGACCGCCACAACCATGTATTGTTAAAACTCACAGCTGCTCAGCAAAAATAAAGTCCTCCAGTCTGTAAACATCCAGACTCTGGAACAGAACATGAAAACGACACATGGGAAAGACAGAGCTCATTGTTTTTCACCCCAATAGCAGGAATGTGGATCGTCATGTTGATCTTGGGCCTCTTTCTCCCTACTCAAAACCAGTTGTGACCAGTTTGGGGGTGAAAATTGATGCTGGACTTAAATTTGATGCTCACATCAACTCTGTGATCCGGTCCAGTTTCTTTCACCTGAGAAGCCTTGCAAAAATCAAGCCCATGCTGTCAAGAGCCCACCTGGAGCGGGTACTGCATGCTTTTGTAATTTCTAGGCTTGATTACTGCAACTCTCTCTATGCAGGGTTGTGTCAGTCATCACTGCGTCGCCTACAGGTTGTGCAGAACAGTGCAGCCAGGTTCCTGACTGGGACCAGGAAACGGGACCCCATCAGTGCGGTTCTGGCCTCCCTGCACTGGCTTCCGGTTGGCTATCGTTCACACTTCAGACTCCTCGTCTTTGTTTTTAATTTCTTCCCGGGTGGTGCTCCCCCCTATCTGGCCACGCTCCTGAACAGACACTCCCCATCACGCGCTCTGCGCTCCTCTGACCAAGGCCTGCTCGCTGTCCCTCGTTCTAGGTGTCGTACTCGCGGGGACCGGGCATTCTCAGTCCTAGCACCGTCTCTCTGGAACCAGTTGCCACCCTCAGTTAGGCTGTCCCCATCTCTGCCAGTCTTCAAGAGTCGCCTAAAAACACACCTCCTCCACTTGGCGTTTCCTGAACGTGTTTGAATTTGGCCCTCTTTTATGTTGATTTTATCTCACAGTTTTCATTGGTTCACTTTTTCCCTTGTTTTACACATTTGTCTTCTACTAGAATGTTTCACCTTTTTTGTAATTTGTAATCTGTAATTTGAATTGCTTTTATTTTCTGATTTATTCACTTTCTTTAACTTTGTACTGTACCATGTTCAGCGCCTTGGGCTTCCTGACAGGTTTGCAGAAGGCGCTTTATAAATGAAGCTTTGATTTGATTTGATTTGACACATAAATTATGAAAACTTGAATTAAAATGTGGAGAAAGGGTTAGGGTTACATAGCTGAAATGGACTTCTGGCATTGCCAGGGAAACATGTAAATACTGAGCGTTTAAGTAAATAGCTCTGGCTACACTGCTTTAATCACGCAGCTGGTGGTCTCTGGTTTAGTTCTGATATCTTTGTAGTCCTCATAGGCATGAATTAATAATTCTTGCTCCATCTGGGAGAAGAACGAGGCTCCATTCTTTTTTTCCATCGAGTAACAGGGGCTTCCTGTGAACCTGTGAGCCTCTTTTGAATTAGAGAGGACCTGAGCATAATTAGTGGAACGAAAAAAATCCTGGAATGAACAGGTGTGATTTGTCAAGCAGAGATTCATCAGGATAGCCTTGATGTTCTAAACGCGCTTCGTGGAATCCCCCCACGAAAAGAAAAATACCATTTTAACATAAATGCTTTTTACCTTTTTCACTTTAGAGGATAAATCTTGGACAAAAAGTCTCCTCAGGCTGTGGAGTGTCTGTAGCTCTCGAGCCTACGAGAAATGAAAGGGTTTTAAAAAGCAGCCGAGAAAGTGAGAAAAGGCAGCAGAGGTATTCAGCTGGTCTAGCTGTGTATTCTTGTTGCTGCAGAGCCACACTCAGACACTGAAACTCCTACACCAGGGGTCGGCAACCCGCGGCTCTGGAGCCGCATGCGGTTCTTTCATCCATCTGATGAGGCTCTCTGTGCTGGTAAAATAGTGAATGGATGTTTAATTAAAATGTATTTCATATTACTGCATTCATTTTTATCAGCATGCCAATTCTAAATGTAAAGATTGTCATCTTTTAAAATCTAAACAAAAATGATGAAGACCTGAAACGACAGGTCACCTATAAAAAAAATGCACTTACTATTTGTGCGTAATCAAATGTCTCTGAAGAGGATATGAGATTCTGGACTTTGCCTCTGACAGGCTCATGGATGCGTCGCAGAGTTGCTATTCAGCCAAAGTTTCATCATCAGAGAAACCAAAAGGGTTCCGATGAAGGCAACGGGACTTCTCTGCTTTCTTGAAGACTTTTCATTTCTAATCCAAGGAGCTTTGTTAATCCAAACTGGAAAATGGGAGAGTCATGCTTATAAGCGGTAGCTGTCTATTGTTATTTAACGAGCAGAAACTACTCTGAGTAACCCTCCTCTCTACCCCTGATGAGCCGTTGGCCTCTATTGAGAGGGAGTCGTGTTGATTAGACACAGGAAGGTGGGACCTAGATTGAAACAGCTTAGGAATGAGATTAAAGCTGCATTATAGGTACTGGAAAGGTAAAACCTAAGCCCCTCCCCTATTTAAAGTGGGTTTTTCATATTTGACATAGATAGCTTCTTTTACTACTCTCTCAAACCATCCATCTTCTCTGTCCTGAATGTTTACTTGTGTGTCCCTTGTCCTTCAGGTGGATGCGAAGTGCAGAGTGTTGACTTGAAGAGGTGGCTCTCCTGTGTTGTGCCATGCTCTTGTGCAATTGTTGTTTAGTTTCTCTAATGTAAACATCTGGACAGTCGTAAGCCTGACATAACCGAGACGTAAGCCTTTGCAAGAGGATTCAGGTAGATGGGAGCCGTACCACCTCGAACTTTGTATGCTAGTGTTAGCAATTTGAATTTGATGCATGTAGCTAGCGGTAGCCAGTGGAGCTCAATGAACAGAGGGGTGATGTGTACTCTTTTTGGCTGATTGAAGACCAGACGCGCCGCTGCGTTCTGGACCATTTGAAGAGGTCTCACAGTACAGGCTGGAAGACCAGTTAGAAGGGTATTGCAGTAATCGAGGTGGGAGATGACAGTAGATTGCACCAGGAGCTGGGTGGCATGTTGTGTTAGGTATGGTCTGATCTTTCGTATGTTATACAGCACAAAGCGGCATGAATGAGCAACAGAGGCAACATGATCTTTAAACCTCAGGTGTTCTTCAATCACAACACCCAGATTTCGAACTGCCATTGAAGGAGCCAGAGATAGGAAGTGTTTTTGGATTGAGATATTGTGCTGTATGGATGGTTTTGCTGGGATGACAAGTAGTTCAGTTTTAGAGAGGTTGAGTTGGAGATGGTGGGATTTCATCCATTTTGATATGTCAGAGAGACAGTTTGATATTCGTGCAGAGACAGTGTGGTCGTCCGGTGGAAATGACAGAGCTGGTTGTCATCTGCATAGCAGTGGTAGGAGAAGCCATGTGATCGAATGATCTCACCCAGTGAGGTGGTGTATACGGCAAAGAGAAGAGGCCCTAGTACAGAGCCCGGGGGCACTCCCGTGGCAAGATGGTGCACAGTAGAGGATTGTCCAAGCCAAGATACACTGAATGATCGTCCTGTGAGGTACAATTCAAACCAGGCATGTGCTTTCTCTGTCATGCCCATGCTAGAGAGTGTGGACAAAAGGAAGCCATGGTTGACAGTGTCAAATGCAGCCGATAAGTCAAGCAGGATAAGCACTGAGGATCTGGCAGTTGCTCTAGCTTCTTTTAAGGATTCCGTCACTGCTAACAGAGCAGTTTCAGTGGAGTGGCCCTTTTTGAACCCAGATTGGTAAGGGTCAAGCAGACAGTTTTGTGAGAGGTATTCTGTGGTCTGCTTGAAAGCTACCCTTTCAATGATTTTGGACAGAAAAATGTGTTTCTCTTCCTTTTGTTTTCCTTCAGTCTTTGTAGGAATGCTCTTGGCTCTATGGTGTAAAGTTCTGATGTCTGACATTTAGTGCTCCAGCGGGTGATGTGAGTCCAAATGCAGATACTGATCTGTGTGAGTTGGTTTCCTGTAGACTTCAATGCTGAGACTTCCATCTTGTTCGATTTGCACAGCACAGTCCAAGAAGGGCAGTTGGTTGTTGTGAGCTTCCGCCCTGATGAACTTGATGTTCTTGTCCATGGTATCCATGTGCTTGGTAAAGTCTTCTACTTCCTTTGTGAGACTTTTGACCCATGTGTCGTCCACATACCTGAACCAGTGGCTTGGTGTTGTTCCATTGTAGGAGTTCAATGCTCTGGTTTCCACTTCCTCCATGTAAATGTTGGTGACAATAGGTGATACTGGGGAGCCCATGGTGCATCCATGTTTTTGCCTGTAAAACGTGTTGTTGTGTTTGAAGTAGGTGGTAGAAAAACAGAGGGCCAGGAGGGTACAGATCTGGTCTGGAGTCAGTTTTGTCCTCTTGTTTAAGGAATCATCTTGATTAAACAACAATTACACAAGAATATGGCACAACACAGGAGAGCCACCTCTTCAGCTCAGCACTCTACAGTCCACCTACACCTGAAGGACAAGGGACACACCTTTGAAGAGGACAAAGTCCACATTCTGGACAGAGAAGATAGATGGTTTGAGAGAGGAGTAAAATAATCTATCTGTGTCAGGGGGCATCAGGGGGTAGAGAGGGGGGTACCCAGAGTAGTTTCTGCTTGATAAATAAAAATAGGCTTTGACCTCCTGCTCCAATAACAATAGACACTTTATAAGCTTGACTCACCCATATTCAAGTTAAATTAACAAAGCTCCTCGGATGAGAGGCGAAACGTCATCAAGAAACCAAAGAAGTCCAGTTGCCTTCATTTGAACCCTTTGGATTACCATGACCTGGATGACTGAGAAACTTCACCAGCATAATCAGAGAACATTTTCTGTGACAAGTCTATCGGAGAGACGGGGTTTGGAAAACACTCGCTTTAGTAAGAGGAATCTTTTTGTGTGTGCTCTGGTTCTGCTGCTGCCTGACCGACGTGCTCCAAACCCTTCTCTACATCTTTTACTGGCTGTCCACCTTATGTGTGCGCTGACAGCAAGCTGCACTCAGGATAATGCTCAGATGTTCTGATGGGAATCTTTTCTTGATTGATTTAGCTACCTGCGCGATGTGCGTAATGACTAAAATGTTGGCACATCTGCAGCCTTGAGGTTTCTCTGTCAAAATAAACAATCAAATACGGGAAATATCTGGTCAGTGCGAACCCTGCCATTTAACTGTTTTGCCTTCTTGTGAAGATTGTAAACTTGATTAACACCAGAGTCATGCACACTGCGCCGTTATCTCCATCACAAGTCCAAGCGGGTGGGTCCAGGCCCGATATACCCTGGATAGGAAAATGTTTTCTTTATTGTGGGAGATGGGTAATATTGGCTCTTTGATGGGAAAAGGTTGCCAACACCTGTCCTGTACTGAATGCACCGCAGTATGCAACATCCTGAACACAGGTTTAAGGAGTTGTCCTGAATGAAATTCTTTGACCCTAGAGGGATCTGAAATCCTGATAACACTCCAGCCTCCAAGCTCGCGCACACACACACACACACACAGAAGGAAATCTGTTCTGTTGTTTAGTCATCAAGTTGAAGGAATCCTGCAGCTGAACCAACTTTAGATCATCGTGACTGACCACAGTCTCCTCCAGGCCTTTCAAATCCTGCCTGGCCTGTTCCCGTCGGTCCTGCTGCACCCTGCCACAAATGAGACAGCTGTTAGGGCAGGTAGTCATGGACAGAGACTCTCTACGTCTGTGAGCACAGTCCATCTGATTAATATCAGGGCCTACATGAGCTCCTGCAGTTGGCGGCTCTTCTCCTGCTCAGCAGTCTTCAGCTTCTCATGCTCCACCTTCAGCCTCTCCTGCTCCAACATGATTTCTTGATTTAAGCTACACAGAAAAGAGTGACTGATTCACAACAGGCCCCACACTGCTACAGACAGGTGAGCAGCATTTGTGGTCTTACTCCTGCAGCTCAGTGATGACCTTCTCCTTGTTATCCAACTCGTCTCTGAGGCTGCTAATCTGCCTCTGATGGGCTTCTCGGTGAGACTGTATCTGCATCTCCACCGCCTCCTGAACAGAAAAGAAAACACACACCTACTTGCTGTCACAGGTCAACTGTATGTGTACATTCACAATTATCTAAAGGCCTGGCTTCATCTGATGTTGATGAATGATAGTGTAAAAGATGTTTATGTTTATGTATTTAGCAGACGCTTTTGTCCAAAGCAACTTACACGTGATAATCGGCATGTTGCCCTTGAGGCTAACAACAACAATAACAACAACAACTTGACATCAGTCATGGAGAGGAGGGAACAAGGAGTGGACAGTAGAGAGGGGGGACGGGTGCAGGGAGGGTGCTAGTTAAGACGATGCTCTCTGAAGAGCAGGGTCTTCAGGAGTTTTTTGAAAATTGAAAAGGAAGGTCCTGTTCTGGTAGTGCTTGGAAGGTCATTCCACATTTGTGGAGCGATGCATGAGAAGAGTCTGGATTGTCCTGAGCGTGGTGTCCGGAGCGGCCGGGCCGAGACGTAAGCCTTTGCAAGAGGATTCAGGTAGATGGGAGCCGTACCATCTCAGACTTTGTATGCTAGTGTTAGCAATTTGAATTTTATGCGTGCTGCTAGCGGTAGCCAGTGGAGCTCAGTGAACAGAGGGGTGACGTGTCATCTTTATGGCTGATTGAAGACCAGACACGCCGCTGCGTTCTGGACCATTTTAAGAGGTCTCACAGTACAGCCTGGAAGACCAGTTAGAAGGGCATTGCAGTAATCGAGGTGGGAGATGACAGTAGATTGCACCAGGAGCTGGGTGGCATGTTGTGTTAGGTATGGTCTGATCTTTCGTATGTTATACAGCACAAAGCAGCATGAACGAGCAACAGAGCCAACATGATCTTTAAAAGTCAGGTGTTCATCAATCACAACACCCAAATTTCGAACTGCCTTTGAAGGAGCCAGGAAGTCTTTTTGGATTGAGATATTGTGCTGTATGGATGGTTTTGCTGGGATGACAAGTAGTTCAGTTTTAGAGAGGTTGAGTTGGAGATGGTGGGATTTCATCCATTTTGATATGTCAAAGAGACAGTTTGATATTCGTGCAGAGACAGTGTGGTCGTCCTGTGGAAATGACAGACAGAGATGGGTGTCGTCTGCATAGCAGTGGTAGGAGAAGCCATGTGATCGAATGATCTCACCCAGTGAGGTGGTGTATATGGCAAAGAGAAGAAGTCCTAGTACAGAACCCTGGGGGACTCCGGTGGCAAGATGGTGCACGGTAGAGGATTGTCCAAGCCAAGATTCACTGAATGATCATCCTGTGAGGTGTGATTCAAAACAGGCGTGTGCTTTCTCTGTGATGCCCATGCTAGAGAGTGTGGACAAAAAGAAGCCATGGTTGACAGTGTCAAATGCAGCCGATAAGTCAAGCAGGATAAGCACTGAGGATCTGGCGGTCGCTCTAGCTTCTTTTAAGGATTCCGTCACTGCAAACAGAGCAGTTTCAGTGGAGTGGCCCTTTTTGAACCCAGATTGGTAAGGGTCAAACAGACAGTTTTGTGAGAGGTATTCTGTGATCTGCTTGAAAGCCACCCTTTCAATGATTTTGGACAGAAAAGGGAGGAGAGAGATAGGTTGGTAGTTCTCCACATGATTTGGAGGAAGAGATGGATTTTTTTTAGCAGCGGTTTAACCGGAGCATGCTTGAGAGAGGTGGGAAATGTACCGGATGTCAGTGAAGCATTGATCACATGTGTGACTGCTGCGGCTACTGTAGGAGCAATAGCTTGGAGCAGCTTAGTTGGAATGGGGCATGTAGTAGGGCGGCTGCACGGGATGTATGACCTGTTAGCACTGGATGCATCTTTGGTGAATGGGTTAGGGTTAGGGCCAGGCCACTAACCCACCAAACTCAGCATCAGTCAGGTAGACTCAGTTAGGGCTAGTTTTGTGTTTGCTATCACTGATATTTTAGTGATCTTGGACTATAAACAGAGTACCTTAACTTCTTTAGCTGACTGGATCTCATCCTCCTTCTCCATGGTGTTGACCTTTTCTAGAAGGATACCAAATAGTTCATGTTAATGATCATTCAAACATCTCCTTGCCTGCAAATGATACATGATGCACCAGATACCACTGTTTCAGCATCAGTACAGTTATGGTATAACATAAGGTAGCTTGGTGTTTGTCAGGCACTCACCTTGAGCTCTGATCCTGACTATTTCTTCATGTAGAAGATCCACATTTTCCTCCAGCTGTCTTTTTTTATGCTCCACATTCTGGAGGGATTCTGTCAGGGACTTGATTTTAGCTTCATGCTGAACAACAACAGGCAAGGGAAGACACCAGGCTTTGAACTCAAATCAGCAGTTACATCTGAGCTACCATTTCCTTTTTGTGTGGAGTGTTTAGCAGTAGTTACCTGGGAGACGCGGAGCTGGCAGGCAGTCAGATCCCTCTCAGTCTCCTCCAGCTTCTGGGAGCTGTGGGTGTGAGTGCTTTCCAGCTGTTTGCTGCGCTTCACCATGGTTTTCACTTCAGATTTCATCTTGCTGATGTAGAGTCGGGCCATTGTGAACTCTTCATCAATGAGACCGCTGCTCTCCTGCTGCTAAAAGTTAAAAACCAGATGTGAGATGGGCTCCATGCATGGCTCCAAAAAAGGTCTTTGGTTTTGGCTCATCATAGGGTTCATTTAATGCAAGTAGGTTCATTTATGTATGAACAACAGGTAATTTTCTCTTTTCTCTGACAATCATTTCCTATCTAAATCCTGACATTTATGAAACTAGAGTGAGAATTTAATTTTGGATTGGAAATCTCTCAGCAGGCCAAATCATGGAGCTCATGGCTAAGAATGCATCATCGGGAAAAGACCGCAAAGGAAAAAGATGAGTGCATTAAGTGTACGGCAGATTTAAAATCTATTAGCTTCCATAAATATTCAATTTTCTAAAAGTTTTTAAACATGAAGAATTTATTCAGACATTTATTAGCTCAACAATACATTAAACATGCAATCTGTTAAAGAAAAGGGAAAAGTGATCTTGTTGAGAGAAAGGCTGTCTGATAGATTTAGACGCGATTTTGCGTCAGAGACCAGCTGAAGTAAGCGTGGTTTCCTCAGGAAGACAGAAACCTGTGAGTTGGACATTAACTCAGTTTTAGTTCGTATACGTGGAGATCTTGTGAATTGAGCTGCTTGCGTGCTACTGAAAGAAAATGAGGAGGATTAACAATGCTGTAGCTCAAAGGACGCACCTTGATGTCATTGCCTCCCACGGCAACGCTAATCTCAGCCAGGTCCTTCAGTAAGGACGACATCATCTCAGTAACCCTTTTTTTCTGGTGGTTGGTCATCTCCTTCAGTTTTTGGAGCTCAGAGTCGATGGAGGCCAAGCAGCTCTGAAGGTGGACAGAAACACACGTCACTCCGTGGACTCAAACGGGTCACTGCACCCGTGAGATTCTGAGCTTAAATGTCCTTACAGACTTTTGGTTCAGTTCCTCACTGAGAGCCTCAAACTCTTTTGCTTTGTCTTCAACTTCCTGACTCTTTTGGTCATAGTTGACTGCCAGCTCCTCCAGCGCCTGCAGCACCTCCTTCACCTCCTCTTTGGAGGCCTCGTTCTCAGCCAGCAGCCTGTTCAGCTCTGTCTGCAGGGTGCTGTGGTCCCGACGGGAGAAGGATAATAGCTGGTGGGAACAAACAAATTCATGTGTGGTGCAGTACAGTTTGGGAGTGTAAAGTGGGGGTGGGGCTTTAAAAAGAAGCATCACCTCTTCTTGGTCCAGCAACTGCTGCTTCAGCTTCTCAACCTGCTGAGATTGTTGGTTAATCTCATCATCCTGGATGGGATCAAATAAAAGACTAGTTACTCTCAGAGGTGAGTGCCATCTGCTGGCCATAATGACTATAAACATAGAACAGCAAAGAAATACCACAACATTGAGGATCTTCCTGAGGCGTTACCTTGTCATCCATCTCCTTGTAGAGTTTGGCCAATTCGGACTCATACTTCTCTTTCTCTGCACCCATAACTTTGACTCCAGGCAGGGTGTCCAGGGACTTTTTGTCTGCTGTCTTATCATGGTTGAGTACAACATCCAGAGCCATCACCTCGGCTTTGGCCTTCTCTTTATCAAACTGCTCCTCCACGGGTACCTTTTCTCCTGATAAGAGGCAGTAGAGAGGCAATATGAGTGTCCACACCCCCCAAAACCCCACAGTTTTTATGAGCTCTTTTAAAGTCTGTGGAAAAATGTAAAAACACGAATGTTACATAATCTCATGTTTAAAGGGCAACGGTGGCAAAGGAAATGAGTGCCCGCCCCATAATCAGAGAGTTGTAGGTTGGAGCCCTGCTCAGGCTGTTGCGGTGGTTGTGTCTTTGGGTGAAATACACTGTAAGATCGAATTGTAATAGTTTGATGAAACAAATAAGTAGCCACTACATAAAAAGTCATTATAAGTTCATACAACTTTATTTTTCTGAGTAGTTTCAATGAATTTTTTATTTTAATTAATTAGTAATCGAAAGCATTGATGAATTTAGGACATTTCACTCAAATAATTTGCATCAACAATGACGTCACTACGCACGTACATGCTCACATACATACACCACCTGTTTCTTCATGAGAGCTGGTTGAAACGACATCTTGGATTCCTCGCTTCAATTTCGGATGCCCGCTCCTTACTCCGAAGAAACTTTTTCAACAGTAATATATGAAGAGATATACAATTATTGTTGGGCGAAAATAATTTTTCGGTAGCATTTTTTGTTTATTGTTGGATAGACAAAGACATGCCGTGGCTTGTTCGGATTTCGGCGTGGATTCAGCCAAGAACTCTCTGCTGCATTTGTTGCCATTGCAGCATTTTAGAGCTCTTTGGTAAGTTTTATTTTTTATGAAAGGCATATTTCTTCCTTGTCGTCATAAATAAGCAACTGTTTTAGAATAAAATATGAAAAATTATTCAATACTGAAACGTATATAAAAAAAGCACCAAAATGGGGGAGAGGCGGAGTAAAAACTGCCTGCCTGTAAATGTGCGAATTCCTCTGCTGTCTGTGCAAACTCGACCAACTGAGTCCTGATAATTCTGTCTACATTGTTTAGTGGTATGAACAGCAGATGGATGGAAAAGGGACATGTTACATCTCTTCTTACTTCACCAGTTTATATTCGTCTGTAGTTTTTCTCATTAATTCAGATAAACTAGTGACTACATTACACCTCGGTAATAATATCTGCACTATACAAGGTAATAATGCGTGACCCGTTTTGGCTGGGAATCTCCTGTATTTTACCCCACTTACCCGTATTTTAATATCATGAAAAATTCCTCTGCTTCTGAACTAAACTGAGAAGTAGTCAAAGTCAAAGTCAGTCAAAGTCATTTATTGTCATCTCTACCACATGTGCAGGACATACAGAGAAACGAAATTGAGTTTCAGCACACATAATTCAAAGATCAGACGTACGTGGGTAAGACACATGACAAGAATTGGTGACTGCGGTCATTCGCAACATGAGTCGCGCTACCTTAATAGATAGATGAAAAGGGTGTTACATGAGGATAAGTGGGGGTAGGTAAAAAAAGGCATAGCAGAGTTAGACCCAGCGGGGAGTAACTCTATTATACAAAAAAACTCCTTTAACATGGAAGCACAAACAGCACAGATACAACATCAGAGTCAGATGGGGAGGCGGGGATGGGCGGGATCCTGAAGCCTCCAATGGGAGCTGCCACTGCGGCGCATCGACCAGCTGCAGACCAACAGGTGGGAGGGAGAGATAAGGACCAGAGAGCACATTGAGTTTCCCGCAGACGTCTCAATCTGAAGGAAGAGGGTGAAGGTCGGGACACAGCATCTGTCGGCATTCCTCCTTTCGTGGGGGTGTGTTGAAGCAGCCTTGAGAGGCTGCTGTGGCGTCAGATAAAGGATAAACATGACTTTGTTTGGGGCAGGCAGAGATAATTTTCCTCTCCGCCTTGGAGTCTATAAGTGGTCATTCATGTCCACCAGTGAAGCCAATTTTACGTTCTAAATATCCCCACATCGTCCAGCGACCCTCTCCGAGATCATATCCATCTTGCGTACTATCACAGGCAATGCCGCGAGGACATTATCCAGCTTGCGGTTCACCTCGAGTAACGTCCCAGTTTGTGAGGTCACCGCACGAGCGGCACATTCCGTGGGCACGGGTCGCACTCCAATCGCTCCCGGCTTCCCAAATTTCCAGAAAACCAGATATCCTCCCTCTCCAATCAGAAGAAATCCAGTGATCATCAGGCCGAACATCCACAAATCTTCCACGTCCTCGATGGACAACTGAGAGAGGCACACGAATCGCCAGACCTCCCAAGAATTGAGTGCATATCCCGATGTGAATGTCCCCTCGGGACAGGTGGGAGCCCCCCTCTCCGTTCTCATCGTAGAAAAAATTTTGTCAATCACGTTGAATGACCAGTTAGTTAAGTCCATATTTCCAAAAAAGAGTAGTGGTTTCAGGAGAAATGCAGAGAAGTGCTCTGTAGGCAGACGGGACAAGAGCCTTGGGGAAGCCGATAAGGGAGCTGAGAAAAAAGCGTCTGTACTCTCTGAAGGCTGAGAAAAGAACGGGAGTAGTGCTGTGGTGGCAGCACCTAGAATGGGAGCAACAATATGGCGCTTACACATTAGCGTCGGCACCGGAATTTGGCTTCACACACACACGTCAGATTTGCGTTTTCGATGCAGAGGCGACTCTTTTTCTCAGACCTTCTCCGCAGCGATCAGTCTGGGACCGAGGTGACTGACGGACTGATTGGCTGGCTGAAATTATGCCTACTGCCTCCAATCTGTGAGAAGAATGAGCCAGCAGGGGTTTCCCGCATGCGCGATTCATTTTCATGCTGGATGCTGTTGAGTAAACTTCTGTCTGTAGAACAGAGCTGCCGTTCCGGAGCTGCCGAACAGTGTGGGAACGGGAGAGAAGAATAGTTTTGTGTGTGTGTGTGTGTGTGTGTGTGTGTGTGTGTGTGTGTGTGTGTGTGTGCGTGCGTGCGTGCGTGTGTGTGTGTGTGTGTGTGTGTGTGTGTGTGTGTGTGCATGCGTGCGTGCGTGCGTGTGTGTGTGTGTGTGTGTGCACGCGCGTGCCTGTTCTCTGCATCAGAAAGCTGCTCAGGGGAGAAATCAGTGTGTGTGTGTGTGTGTGTGTGTGTGTGTGTGTGTGTGTGTGTGTGTGTGTGTGTGTGTGTGTGTATGTGTGTGTGTGGCACAAGACATAGCAAATTAATAAAATAATGTGGTTCAGAGTCTCCAAAAGCAACACAGCTCATGTCCGCCTTTTGTTTACCTTATGGAGCAGACTTTCCTGCGCTTAATAAGCGCCGCCCACAGGTTTGGGGATTTTTGCATTCTTCAGAAGTCCTTCAGATTGTGCATTTAGTGACAACGACAGCCTTAAGACATGTGTTGAACATGCCCAAGCCTGTACTTGTGAGCACCTGTGTGTGTACATGCGCTTGTTTATGTAAGGTTATTCTATAAAAGCGTCCAATAGAGAGTATGAGGGGCCACAGATCTGCCCCCCAAAGATGTGTAGGAGATGGAGGGAGCTCCAAGTCCCAGAGATCCAGGCAGTGCCCCTTAATACAGGAACCCCAAGGAGACTGCAACCAGAAAGGCCCCCAACCCCCTCGAGAGGCGCAGAGGATCTCCCCGGGGGGCCACAACCAGTGGCCGGCAGAGTCCCGGGAGATATCAGCAACAAGCCCACAGGCCCGTCCACAGCCCCCCCCCCCCCCCCCCCCCCACCCCCTCCACCCCGCCTCGCCTCTGTGAGTCCCAGGGCAGTTGTAGCTCATCACCACCAGTGGATGAATGACTGTTGTAAAATGTCTTGGGTGTTATATCAATACAGACTATTTACCATTTAAAGTGCAGTAAGAGATGTTCTGGAGCACATTTGCCTTGAAATGCTCTGCATCTCCTGATGGCAATCAATAAATGAAACATTTTGTCAATAATAAATTATTTCAATCACCTCTGAAGTGTACTATCCTGTAAAAACCTTATCCAGTCATTGTGATCATCCCATTCTTAATGACTGGATCATAACCCATCCATCGTAACCCATTGTTACACAAGCAGGCATGGTGGAAGAAGGAGGACACATCATTCAGTTAATTTTGATCTAAAATGGTTTCATAGAGTGACAAATGGACATAGCCTGCCCATTGCTCAGCCAGAAGGACAGTTGAAGCCAAAAATGGGAGGTTCTCACCGCAGATATTTTGACCGATTCACACCCAGACAGTGTTGGGCAAGTTACTTCAAAACTGTAATGCATTACTTATTACCCTCATTTAAAAGTAATTCATTACATTACAATATTACATTATGAGGGCAGCAGTAGCTCAGGTGGTAGAGCGGGTGGCCTCATGATCGGAGGGTCATGGGTTCGATTCCAGCTCCCGCCAGGGGTATCCTGCTGTTGTGTCCTTGGGCGAGACACTTCACCCAACTTGCCTGTGTTAGTGGTGGTCAGAGGGGCCGACGGCGCCAAATGGCAGCCTCGCCTCTGTCAGACCTCCCCAGGGCGGCTGTGGCTACAAGTAGCTTACCATCACTAGCAGTGTGTGAATGTGAGAGTGTGTGAAAGCGTCTTTGGGTGTCTTGAAAAGCGCTATATAAGTTCAATGCATTATTATTATTATTATTACTGGTTTTAAAATGTAAGGCATTACACTACTTTTGCAATACTTTAAGTTACTTTCACCAAAACAACTTCAATATGAATCTGGTAATCTGACACTCAGTGAGCTCATGACATATATGTGGAAAGTGATGTGGTGTCTGAGCTAGGATTGCTGTTAAAAACAGTCAGATATAATGGCAGTGCTTTAAAATTATTGTTGATTAAATAAAAGCAACAACAATCTGTACTCTCAGCACGCTGCCATCTTATATTAACTGAGCAGGGAGTGAGGTGGTGGGGGCTCCATGCCTATATTTGCCTTGGTCCCCAAATGCCTTGATACGGCCCTGGATTTGGGACTGACTTCTGGGGTGATCTGATTCTATCACATGTATAAATATTAAATGTTTATATATTATTGCTTTTCACTGGTAAAAATGTGTATTGGGGATAAATCTACCTATTTTTTTCTTTTCAAGCAC